TCTGTCCGACAATGAAAATCCGTTGTATTGTAAAATTCGTTATATCAAAATTCGTTGTAGAAAGAGTTGACTGTAGTGAAAATTTTGATTATTATGGGATTACTGATGAGACATCATGCCCATTATGCAAATTAGGTCATAATGATGAAGAAAGTATAGAAGGTAGGTATAAAGCTGGATCTTACTTTATTAAATGTGAACAGCACAAAATTGAGATAACTGCATAGACTCATTATTTTACAATATTATATTTGCTCACGCGATATTTTTTTTACAAGGCTAATTCATGTCAACTATTAACTAATTTAAATTGATTTGCAATCATAGAAAAAGGCAACATGATCAAGTCTAATAAAGTATTAACTCCTGAATATCTGGATTGGCATGCCAAATTAAGTGGGTTACTAAGCATTTTGACGGATAAGATCCATTCCAGCTTATATAAAAAATATAAAAGAGAAATGGTACTTGAGCCATGGCAATCATCAGAAGGTCACCTTCTCATAAATTCGAAGCCAGAAAACAAAGTATCCAATTTATCTTTTTCTGAGCAATGTGAAGAAAAAGTGCCTATCACCTTTAAAGCCAAACCTGATTTAGAGTTAATTATTAAATCTGTGTTAGAGCATTTCACGTATCTGAAATTCTGAAATAGTTTTAGAGGAATTGATAATTATAATTTTGCATCACCTCAACCGTGGAGCTCACCATGTCCTATTTGCGATGGAAAACATGGGAATTATAGATTACATGGCGAATGGTACTGCGAGAATGGGAATCAGTTCCCTTATGATCCTGAATTAGCGAAGTTGTATTCCCAAGATAAGGTTGGAATATTGTCTTACCTGCAACACTTCAAGCAATAAACTTAAGTTCGCAATAGTAACATAATCTGATCATGTGTACCAATCACCTGAAATGCGCAGTAATCGATCGACATGCAAAAGTGCATACATATGCATTATTTTTACTTCGTTTCTAACAAAAAATTCTTCCTACTGAAGCATTATACCCATTTCAAATATGCAAGTAGGACCGCAGTATGTCTAAACAATCTATAATGCAGATATTGAAGTAGGAAAGTAGAATATTTTTCTACGGGCGAGTTCCCGATCCTTTGTAATGATTTTTTCCATATCTAGGTAAGGACTCTAACTTATATGATTTAATGTATTGCAAATAAAAAAGCTTGCTTCGATTAGTTTGATCGTTCGAGATCGTACACTAATTAATGCAGGGTAATTTAAATCTTTTCATGATCAGTCCTGAAATTTGTGATTTCAACTTTTTTGTAAGATCATTTATAACATATTTTCCTACTTTCGAGTTCAATTTTTTCAGCCTTAAGCTTAGTAATTTCAGACCAACGTTCGGACTAAATATCACGCGATTTAGGTTTAAGAAACTTAAAATGGGAGGTCACTGATATGGATTAAAAAGACGCAATGTAGGACCTTTGTAAAAAGGTTGATTTATTATTATGAATATACAGTACATTATTTCGTAAATGTGCAATGCTCTAATGCTGATATATATGTAATTATCTTTTGAATAGTTTCTCAGAATAATGAAAGAATATTTTTTTTTTTACATAACTAAAGATATAATATGTCCTAAAGCAAATTTTTTGTGTTGATAAGTTTTAAATCCTGTCACTCAATAATTACCAATAAAAAAAAACCTTATAATTAGACGGCCTCTTGTAATTGATCAAAGACACTATTGTCTCTCAAAAAGATTTAAGGGTTTCCTACAGATTTAAAATGTGGGATGTTATCTAAAATCTCATGACCAACCAAACCACAGTTTACGCTTGAAGTATTCTTTGGCCATGAGTAAATTGATCGAGTTCGTATCCAGTTTGACCAGTTGGTTCCATCACCAAGATAGACTAACCATGGCCTTGAGACCTGATAGATTCTTAAACCTCCCCCATATCCATTTGCAATGTCATATTCTGACCTCCAACTTTCGCGGGAGCTTTGTAGCCTTTGCCTTAAAAAGAATAGTATGGTGGTAATTTCGGCTCCCGTATCCATAACCAAATGCTACCCATTATCAGTACCTGTCATTCTCGCTTCATTATGGGGATTTAGTGTGTCTCGAATACATATGTGTACCCATTTCATTTTGGCAAAGGAATACCCCATTTTTAGTGATCATTTGCAGATATCATTCTTATTATAAAACACATCCAAACAATATCCGCCAATGCTATAATGTGTATAAATTATAAACGTATCTGCTACTCATTTCTCATTGCAGAGGCAATGGCAGAGAATCTGCGCAATAAAAAAGTCTTTCTAGTGATGGGTGCGAAGTACTTCTCTGGATATTTTTTCTCAAGCTGTTCGTAGTCTTCTGATGATACATCTTTTTCGTAATACTTTAATACTTCTCTATGAACGATTAGCACATACGATCCTTTCAGCTTATCTTCAAAAGCTTCAGATTCGACTAAACGATGATATGCAAGAGCATTTGTTGCGATTTCTGTTGCAACATCTTCCCATTCAGGATCAACAATGAATTCAAAAATTTCAAGATGATCATTTTCAGTCATTTTAGATGGCCAAATGAAGTCAGGGCCAACGAAATCTAAACAAGAATACATTAACATTAGTAAAAATGCAATCAAGCTGGAACAGATTTGTTATATACCATAAAATTTCTTTAAGTCTTCCTTTTTTGCAAATTGAAGACCTAGATTTTCAGCGAAGCTTTCGAGATTATTTTCCACTTCAGGTTTTGAAGTATCAGGAGTTTTGGATTCAGATACACTTAGGTCAGGTGCATCTTCCAAGTTCATAAGTTCTTCATGCGAGTGACTTATTACAGGCGAGTTTTTAGACATTTTATCTTTAGTATGTTAATACGGAATATGCAATATGATTCCGAAAGCTGAAAAAATAAAATAAAAACCTTTTTTTAAGAACTTTGGAATTTTAATTTTGCGTTTTAAGTACATATTGTTTTGGGAATTTGTATAACAAATTTTCCTTTGGGAGTATACTGAAATTACTGAAATGATAAAAAATAAGTCAAAACAATAACCAAAAAAAGTTTAAACTGATGCATGGACAGCGCACGTCTGAAATGTGTGCCAGGTTATGCTGATTATGTAGCGCAGCTGTCAATTTTTTAACTGACTGTAAACATCAGAAACAAACAAATTGATCACGATTGCGTGATCTAACCAATAAACAATTGCGTTACACTAATTACTCCTTTATGTTTCATTTGTGTTCTATTTTTTTTTTTTTTTTTTGTGTTAGATTTTTTTTCTTACATACCTCTCTTTTCGAAAGCAAGACAAATTTTTCTTTTCATTTATTGTAAGCGTGTTAGTCCTCGTAATGTAGTATATAAGCAACTTTGTATATAAAAAATAAATTATATTTATTCATCAATTTTAAAGTTTCGGAAGTTACACAACTAGTACAACTCATAATCAATATAAAAGGAGATAACACCAAACAAATACCGGTTAGTTAATTTTACACACTTTCTTTGAAAAATTTAAAAAAAAACTGAGTTTTGAGGTAAAAATTTATATATAAAACAATTATTGTATAATTATTATAGTAGTATTTATATAGCAAATTTATTATATGAGTTTATTTATTTATTATATAGCGAGTTTATTTCATAATATAAGATAGGGTTTATAGGTTTAATTA